TCATCATCATCATCATCATCATCATCATCATCATCATGACTTTATCATAGTGTCAAAAAAAGCTATAAGCCACTTAGTCAAGGGTAAACAAAACCCTCTACTAATTGGGGACACTGAAATAAAACCAATTTTAAGTTAAAACAACTAGCCTAGGTAAGTATACTAGAAAATAAAAATAGATAACTATTAATAATAATGAATTCACTTGATATTTACAATAAGATAATACATTATTTAGATTAACTAGAGTATATAACAAATAATAAATAGATAAATAGATAAATAAAATAATATAAAGAAATAGGTCAGCATGTATGTCAGTTGCTACATAATAGGCAGTTCTCACAGTCAGGTTTAAGCTTTAGCGAAAGATTGATACCATGAGTCTGTCGTTTAAATGAGTGCAATGATGGTAAATTTCTAAGATTGCTAGACAGGCTATTCCATAATTTTGGTCCTAGATATCTCAATGAATGTTTCCCAGAAGTTACCGAATGAATTCTGGGTATGTGAAAACCAGCCCCTCTAAAGTTGTAACCAGTGCTATTTAATGACAAGTTGCTGATGCTCTGAGATCACATGCCATGCTTCAAGCATGCTGTATCTTGAAGCCTCCTTTCATACAGTGTAGGAATAATTCAGCAGCTTCTCGTATTTGGATTTACCATCCCTAAAGACTGCACGCAGACCCCTCTCCTGAATGCGCTCTAGTTTCCTTTTGTCGCTCACACAGCACAAGTGCCATGTAGGATAACAATAAGTAAGATTAGGAAGTATTGCAGCTTTGAAAACTTGCAGTTTTGCAGCCGTGGCACTATTTTTTAATCTCATCAATACACCAATCCTTTGCCTTGCTTTTTTACATGTGATATGTAAGTGTTCACTAAAATTAAGCTTGTTATCGATGGTCACACCTAATAACTTAAAGCTATACACGCATATAGTCTGTTCCTTGAACCCTTACGCCAAACTCATCGCCTACTTGTTTACTAGTGATTAGCATAGTATGATATTTGGAAAGGTTCCCCTTGAGTAGATTATAGATTCATACCATACTGAGGCTTTTGTGGCATTTGCATTAAGGCTATGATTAACTGTAGACACATTTTCATTATCTCATAAAGCTGATGGTCATCAGCATATATGCTGAGGTTCTGATCAATTTCATAAGCTAAGTCATTTTGGAAGATGTTCCACAATAATGGTCCCAATGCTGAACCTTGGGGACAGCCACGGTTAACTCTTCTCTGGGAACTTTTTTGAGATGCCAACTCACTCTGTTGTAATGGTCGCACAAGTAACTACACAACAGTCTGATTAGGCTTTCTTGGAAACCATAAGCTCTGAGTTTACTTAGTAACAGAGCTGGATGCATCGAGTCAAAGGCCTTCGACATATCAGTTGTTAACATTCCCACAGTCTGTTTGTTGTCCCTTGCCAGTCTCCAGAGCTCAGTTAAATTAATTAGGGTGGTCTCACAGCTGTGAGTTTTGCGATAAGCTGTTAGAGTCTGTTCCAGATGATGGTCGAATATCCCCACTAGCTGTTTAGCTACAATCTGCTTAAAAACTTTGTCCACCAC